GCGCCCACATCAGATCTGCAACGTCGAAGCCGCTGGGTGTTCAAACCCCTTCGGACAAGAGAGTCATCCGGGGCCGCGCCTTCTACGTCAGCAACCTCTGGGTTACCGGTTTTAATTGCTGATTATGGCACCCCAGCAAGGTAAGTTCATCAGTTTTCTGTAGGATGTTAGGACAGTTGTCTAGCAGCAGCACTAGTAGTTTTTGTTTGTATCGAAAGCTTTCACACCGGAGTCGGGGCTCAACTTGCAATGCAATAGAAATAACCTGGACTGGCTCATCAGGTTGCCACGCTCAGCGTTCCTCCAAATTGCTGGGAATAATTAGGTGCTGTGCTGTGGCACACCACCTATCGACAGCTGCAAACGGTCACCGCGCCGTTGGCTCTGTGGTCGGTTTGGGGTTTTTTTTTTGTATAGTTAACTTTTAGCTGCCCTTCTCGTCGAACAAAGCAGCACCTGCGCCTGCCTTTGAAAGGACACCCATCCTACCTAAAAGCAAGTCCAGAGATGTAGCAGCAGGATGCTTTGCGGTGGTGGTAGCGACTGCTCTGATTTTCCTAATGAGCGTGCTCAGTTTACACACATGATGCTCTTCTAGCAGCCTGACAGATTGATCTATTGCTCCAAAACTCAAGCTGGGCTTTTCCCTTTTACACAGCCCTCGGGATGTAGAGAAAACCCTTTGTGAAGCCCTTCTAGTGCTCTCGGTGCCCAAGAGGCAGAAGGAAATGCAGTGTTTAGCACTAGTACTACGACCAACGGGGGCTAAGAAGGTAGAGCAAGGTAATGCTCATTTTATGTTACTGCTTTTCAATACAAAAACCGGGCTTTTTTATTAATATTTGAACACTAAAAGCTGCAAGCTATGTTCAATACTACTACCACAGAGTAGATCAATTGTACAAGGTAGAACTTGGAACTGATTTCCCAGCAGATCCCAGTACCGAACGCAGGCCAGATGCTGCAGGCACTTTTATGATGACATTCTCATATAGCAACGTATTTTTTGCTCTACTCACCTATCCCCTACTTAACAGGGTAGCAAATTTGAAAAAAAATAATCCAGCTCCAACTGTATTTAGGTCCAGCTCTATTTAATAACAAC